GTTGATCAATGCTTGTGTGAAGTTAGAGTCTTGAGGGAAGCTAGTAGTATGTCATATTTCTATTGTTATTTAGATATTTAAATGATATGTTAATAAATGATAAAATCTCGATGTTATGTAATTAGAACTGTCTGAGGTGAATGCAAATCCCTTTAGTTCATATGATTATATTCATGAGTTTTGAAGGTCATGACCTAATGTCGTACCCTAACATAGACGAGAAATTAGATCGGATTTATGGTACATACATAGTAACACATAATAAAAAAATGGACTACACTTCATTCTACAAAACCTAAATCCTTACATTCAAGGGGCTTCTCACCAGACTCCGACATCCATGGTATGTAATGTGCAGTGAGATGGACTATGAGGAGGATTAATGAGGAATCAAATGCAAGGATCATATTAGATAGTATTGTCTAATATGTTTACAATCACCTAACTATTCAAATACATCAATATAAACTTTTTAAAAAATAACGTCGCTCTATAATTCAAGTGCAAACATTAATGTTTGATGGGAAGACATTATAACATTAAAGCCAATGAAATTTTTAGGACAAATATAATAAATAAATAAATAAATAAAAATATAATGCATAAATCTCAAAAATAAGCTCAATACTTCTAAAATCAATCTTAAAAAAAGATTTTAATATCCTTTGCCCATTTTTTTTTCAAACTATAATAATCTTTCCTCGCACGTCTTTTTTTTTCCTCAAGTAAATGAGATCCAACACTGCATATGGATAATTGGTCTCAATGAGCCCGTAATAGAATAAATGGGATTTTGTGGGCTAATTATCGACCAATCGACATGTAAAGAACCGCATTGTTCAGAGTCTGTCATCGGACTCATTACATACCTCGATAGATCCATTAAACCTATATGTCAGCTCAATCGGGCGGGTTAACCTGTTGAATTGAAGTCCATGCACTACCTTCCCAAGAGTTGTGTTGCTCGCAAGACCAGTTTGTTGAGTTCTCATCGACTGGTGATCCTCAAGATTGACAAATGGTCGATGTAAGCATTGAACATTAAAGAGATTTAACTATGCTTCGTCATCATTTATGAGTTGTCTAACATTCGTGTCTCAAAATTTTTAACAAGACAACACAGATGGATTTTATACTATACAATTAATAATTTTCTATTCTTTTCTCTCTATGTAATGAACGAAGTAGACCTTTGGAGGGGATCGATCGATTGCACTATTACTCTCTCTCTCTCCCTCTCTCCCTCTCTCCCTCTCTCCCTCTCTCCCAGGAAGAGATTATATCACCCCCTCTATCCAGGGAGGAAGATCATCAGAGATACATAAAATTCCTTACTAGAGGGTGCCTTTATCATCTTCTTTCACCCTCTTTATGGACGTCTGTCTAAAATTGTATGAACACAAGGACGATATGGGGCCCATCATCCTAAAAGGATTTAATTCCATAATTTACTTAGCTCAAAATGTCTCAATCAATCATCCCAAAACTTATTGTAATATTTACATGTGATACGCCACTAACAAATTTTCATCATCCAGCATGAATCTCGAGACAATATTTTGAGCAAGAAATATTCAAATTTTGATAAAAAGTCATCCAGAGCTCCGACTTCAGTAAACTTATAGTCAAATTGACCGACTCGATGAGGCGGACCTAATGATATCAAAGTTAGTCCAATCTGAGTCAAATCAAGCTTAGATCAAGTAATTAAATCATTCTTGGAAGATTTCTGGACACACTTGAAAGGTCTAACGAATGTTGAATTCAACGAGTTTATAATTAAATCGAGCATCTCGACAAAACGAATCCAACGAGCCCAAAATTGCTCAAGTCCGACATTGTTAAGGCACTCAAATGTCCATCATCTCCGGACCGTCCGATCAAAATGATTCATATTCCTGCATTACTTGCACACAGAACACTATAAATAGAGCTTCACCCCTCACATGAGGGGGGAGACTTGAGAGAGAACTTGAGGCTTTGAGAATGAGTTCAAGTCCAACATCATCCATGCCATCGTCGATCTTCGTTGACAACCACTGACCGTCAGCGACCACCTCCAGCCTCCGTCGACCACGACCGGCCGTCGGGGGCCCGTCGTTGACCACCGCCGATCACCAGTAACCTCTGTCAACCACCGGTGATCGTCATCGACCACTGCTTACCTCCGTCGACCACCGACGACCGTCATCAACCACGGTCGACCGTCTTGATCACCGCTGACCGCCGACTGCCGTCCATTGTTAACCGTCGTCAACCTCCATCAACCATCGCTCATCTTCATCGTCCACCGTCGACTTCTGCTGCCCTCTGCCATCTATCATCGATCATCACCAATCATCATCAATCATCATCAACCACACGCCGTTAGTCGACGCAGCAATATGAAAATCAAGTAACCATTTCCCGTCTGTGGGACAAGGGATTTTTGTAATCATCAATCAATAGTAGATTTTCGCAATTGGGCCAAACTCCATGATTTTTCCCTTTCCGGGTTTTCCACGTAAAAGCTTTTGGAGTCATCACTACTTGTTTTCAATCAATAGTAGATTTTCGCAATTGGGCCAAACTCTATGATTTTTCCCTTTCCGGGTTTTCCACGTAAAAGTTTTTGGAGTCATCACTACTTGTTTTTTCTTTCATCTGTGTGTGTGTGTTGAATTCTCGTACAACGCTAAGATGATTATCTGTTACTCCACCGCCGCAGATTTTTCAGCACGCATCAACATGCATACCGCTTAATTCCTATGTAATAACATGTAGAACATCTAAAATTTAACTTTTATATATATGACACATAAAAGATTTGGGTTGTACAAATGTAAGAAGTAGAGTTTAACTGGTAAATATGTAAATATATAGAAATAAGTGGTATATATATAAATGCCCCTATTTTCCTATGATAACATTGTTAATGAATAAAATTCATTTTTCTATTGCAATAATAATATCCACATTCTAATCCAGATATTATATATGGAGCCAAAGGGATGCCATAAATGCAACACGTGATATTTGATCTCTACGTAGATATAGCTCTTCACGTTTCCTGCATGCATAGCGAAGGCACAGTCGTCGCTGTTAGATGTTGACCTTGGAGAAACATAAGGAGAAGAAAAAAATTAGCCAAGTTAAATTTCATTAATTGAAATGGCCATTTACATACATGTCATTCAATTTTTATTTATTTACAAATCTAAAACCTATACTTCACTTTTTACATTTAAAAAAGTAGCGTATCCTTAGGTTAATTCCATTATGAGGATGCCCAAAAATACTTTTGATAAAATGGGTCTTGCTTACATTATCATGATAACTGATAAATAGGTCACCAAAAAGATGGTTGTTTCATAGGAACATCCCGATGCTTTCAAAGCTCTCGCTCAGTCACATGACGGAGGGCAAGTCTCTTACATCCCAAATGGGTAGTAGCTCGTTGACAGATGGTGCCTATGAAATAACCAAATTGACTCATAGGACCCACACAATGCTTCTAGAGCCTAATCGGACAATGTGGGTAGAGGGTGAATCAACGTATCTCAAATGGGCGGCAATTTATCTGCAATAGGGGCCTACGAGACGACATTAATGAAGTCTCAATAGGACGACATGCTCAAAAGGGTTCAATAAAGGAAGTCTAGAGTAATCTTAATCGGGTAGAGACAGTTAGGACAAGATGTTATGGATTCATCATCCAAAGTTATTAGGAACTCTAAGTTTACCTAGTGGTGAAGGTAGTCTACCCAATACGACCAGAGACCCCTTATCGGGATATTACTTTTTTAGTTTGTCGCATAATGCACGCTTACAACACCTTTTATAACATTGAATCATGATTTTTTTTTTGTAAATCACACCCAAGTAATAGAATGTAAATTGGAAGAGATTGAGAGAGAGGGAGAGATAGAAAGAATAGTAATTTGGCATGCCTTATTTAGATAATGGTTCCCCTATTTATAACGGAGATGGTACAATATAAAGATGTTGCATTTTTGCCCCTCCTTTAAACAAGTTCATATTGGGGTACTTTTTGCATTTTTCATGGCTCAGCCTATCATCCAACTACTTTCTATCTCAGTCAAAGGAGATCCGCTCGGTCGATTGAGCTTGGTTGGTATGGTCGGCCGACTGATATGGCCGAGATATCACTCCTTGATCCCTAATGAAAAGCTTCCAGACATCTCTGGGATTGTTGGAGATGCTAGGAAATCAGATCTTCCACTGGGTCGGTTCTTCTTTTGTGGTTAGCTTTAATGCCCTTTCGCATTGTTTATGGCAGAGTAGCTCATTCGTGTATCCTTCTGCCCTCTTTGTTGTGTCTTATGGTTCGATAAGCTTTGGTTTTGTTGGCCTGGTTCTAACAGCTTCACTCGGTCGGATAAATAGGCCTCATAATCTTCTGTTAACGGTCTCACCTTCGTCATACTCTTTTCTTCTAAACCGTTAATTCTTCTCAGAATCATTGCTGACATATTTTTGATATACACATACCATCTTACCTATGCATGAGAAGGTGCATTCATTTTTTTTTTTTTTAAGTTAAGTTAAAACAATGGCATCCTTTAGGTAATACATTTTAGCAGCATAAATGTAAAAAAGCAAAGTGTACGTGTCAATTAAAACAATGGCATCCTTTAGGTAATACATTTTAGGAGCATAAATGTAAAAAAAACAAAGTGTACGTGTCAAATATGTAAATATATATGAATTGAGTGGCATGCATGTAAATACATGAAAGCTCTCACACCCTTATTTACTTCACATAAATACATCAAGTAACAAATTATAATATAATACAAATACTCACAATATGAAGTATGAGAGTATGTGAAAATCATAGTCAAACCTAAGTAAAATCTTCATAACGCGTCCATGGCCACATGACTCCACGTTAAGACCGCTCCTAACATTTAATGCCTCAATCCAACAACAACCTAATAAACATAAATACTCCTCGCCTCTCCTCCCGTATACTCATATATATATAATACGCCACACGTCCCCATAATACTCCCACTTCACTTCACCGCATAGTGCTATATTTCTTCTATCCATGGCTTCCACTCTGTGGGTCTTCTTCCTCATAGCAATTGCTCTCCCCGGTCCGGTTCGACCGGCTCCTCAAGTTCCTTGTTACTTCATCTTCGGCGACTCGCTCGTCGATAATGGAAATAACAACGGCATTGCTTCCTTAGCGAGGGCAAATTACTTGCCTTACGGGATCGTTTTTCGGGGCGGACCGCCCGGCGGGTTCAGCAATGGGCTCACCACCGTCGATGTTATATGTAAGCTTTTTGGACCGTTCATTTCTTCTTTTAGAACGGTTTTCTATGAAGAAATAGAAGGGTTATTTACATACAGACCACCCCAAACACTGACATTTTCTATCATATTTTTTTTTAAAAAGCCACCCAATTTCTATCTATTTACATATATCGCACCTAAATCTTACTTTTTTTTTACATTTATACCATCCAAATCATTCACATCTGTCAAAAATATCACAATTTTTACATTTTCTAGCATAGGTAAGGGTATGCACATTAAAATTGAAATTATGTGTTATATATGTAAATAAATAAAAATTGAGTGTTATGGATATAAATCATCCATGTACGCATACACATATTAATAAAAATGGGCATTTACATATATGCTTATACACGCACACATTTCTATTAAAATGGACATTTTACACATGTAAAATGGACATTTACATATATACTACCCAATTCCTTTGTAATTATGCATCTACCTAAACTTAGCCATATATACTACCCTAAAAATCACTATGTTAAGATTTCAAAATTACAATACATATTTTCATCATAATTAAGATTTTGGATTTGTAAAAATAAAAATTTAGATGTCGGATATGTAGATACATAAGAACAGTGATATGTGTGTAAATCAATCTAATTAGGGTGTGTTTGGGGCAGCTGCAGCTTATTGAATAATCTGTTGATAAGCTAGATGCGGTGGTTATTGTAATTTTTTTTTTTTGAAAAGCCAAATCGCTACCAGAAAGTTGTCATGCGGTGTGTTTTCAGCGTTTTGAAAACACATAAGTTGCCAAAACGCAGTTTACCCAAACATGTCAGGTGCATTTTCAAAACGTCACCGCACCAAATAAACTGCCCCAAACTGACCCTAAGTTCATTTGAACCACTCGAAACTTGTTATTTATAAATCAACCCTCCTCTTTCATCCATTTTTAAATTTCTTAAACTAATTTTTTTTTTTTTTATCAAATTCTCAGTAGTTTAGTCAGGGCATGTGTAAATAGTAAATATCAATATTTTGAGGGGCCTATATGTAACTATCCCTAAAAGAGCTGTGATTCCGTGAACCGCCTTGCAATCTGTACTAGGTTTGTTCCCGTGCAGTCTTTAAGATCCACCGACAGTACTCTGTTTTTTCTGGACTTTTATTATTAGTAAATAAATAATATATTTGAGATTTAATTGTAAAATTTCTGACAATTAAATTAATTACAGAAACCAACGTTTTGTTTGTTTCTGAGATATTAATTATCAATCTTGAAAATTGAACGCATGATTCTTATTTAAATGGGTCAGTTTTTATATGTCCACTTGCCTCGGAAATTGGGGTGTAAACGACCCGAACACGAGCGAGAGCCCAGGCTCAGCTCATGTTCGACTTGTTTATATTTCGAGCTCAAAAAGTGTGTTTGTGTTCGGCTCGTTTACTTAGCGAGCCGAACACGAGACGTTTACGAACAAAGAATTGTTTTGACAACTCTAATCACGTAGTCATAAGATGTCAGTGATTCGGGCAAGATTTAAAAATTATTGTTCATATTAAAGCATCATTTGAATTTATATTAAAACATCATTTGAATTCGATTTAATAATTTTAATTCTATTTTTGTAATTAATACTTTAATTGATTATAAATCTTTGTAGTTTTATAGTTAATTAATTTTTTTAAAAGTACTATTCATCGAAGAGATATCTAGATATATATAATTGATTAGTAGTATTTTGAGCCAAAATGAGTAGACACGAACGTATAAATTTTAGCTCGTGTTGTTCGTGTTTGGCTCGTTAAACTAACGAATGAGCCGAAAATGAGACACTTAACGAGTTGAACACGAGCTGTTCACAAACAACGAGCTGTTTTACAGTACTAATGACGCAACAATCACATTTTTAAAGACTAGGTAAAAGGACACGTCAGCAGCGTCAAGTGGGCCCACTTTATAGGATCTGAGCCTTCCCGCCCGCTAATACGGCCTCAGAAGAACGCACCCATCCGGTAGA